GTATAGATATAATTTCTATAGAGATTTGCATGGTCTTAGTGTTGCAATTTAGATTTTGACCTTATTGGTTTTACTAACAAAGACATCGTCTCTTCTAAATCACAACATATTTTGGCGAGTGCTTTTTTTTAATAAAAGTGTTCAAGACATTGACATAAAGTTTGATATAACACAAGACAAAGAGAAACTAAATTTTAATTGTTTGCAAGTAACACTAAATCACAACATATTTTGACGAGTGTTTTTTTTTAATAAAAGTGTTCAAGACATTGACATAAAGTTTGATATAACACAAGATAAAGAGAAACTAAATTTTAATTGTTTGCAAGTAACACATATCAGACCAACACACGTCACTGGTAGAATATCATACTATCATTAGATATTGCTTTATGGTTCCTTTATTTCTAATTGATAATATTTGTTTTGTTTGTCGCAAGACATGTTTATAGATATATTTGGAGAACACGTGATTCATTGCAAAAAGTTTTCAGGCTTCAAATACCAATATGAATTTGCTAGGAATGTCATATGTGATATATTTTGATGAACCATGATACTTATGAAGAAAAAAGGGGTTTGTGAGTTTTTTGACTGGCTCACAAGAAAAGGGAGATCGACATTTAGGTTAACGGATGTTATGGTGTACAAATGGATATGAGGAAAAAATTGCGTTGTTTTTTTATCTGTGGAATTGAGGACTGAAAATTTTACTATATAATATATAACCTTCAAACTCGTTTCAAATGAAATGGTCAAACATGAAAAGTGTATTCCGTCAATCAACTTGTTTTAATATCATTTGCCTTTAACATTTTTAGTTTCTTAGGAAAAAAAACAGTGAATCTTTTGTAGAGAATCCAAAAACTCAATCCTAACAATACATAGCAATGTTGTAGTATCTCTTAAATTAATAAATGTATTTTTTAAAAATATTAATTTTATCATCTAGAAAATGTAAAAACAAAATATATAATATCTTATGAAAATATCATTTTTACATGAGAGTATGAGAATAAATCTGAACAATTAGATTTAGAATAAATAAGTGAGAGGAGAGAGAATTTTAATTATAAAAAATATAATATTTTAATTTAATTTATTTATTTTAAATTGATATAAATTTTAAATATCACACACACACACATATATATATATATATATATATATATATATATATATATATATATATATATATATATATATATATATATATATATATATATATATATATATATATATATATATATATATATATATATATATATATATATAGATTTATGTATAAATTTTAAATCACATATATGTATAAATCTGAACAATTAAATTTATGTATAAATTTTAAGTCACATATAAATTTGATTCAGGTATAGATTTACTTAATGTGAAATAAAGAGTGAGAATAAGACAGACCAACTAATAGAGATTTGCGACCTAATCTATACAGGTTAAGTCAGACTTTTATTTTAATTAAGAAATGACTAAACTTTTTTATAAGCCTATTTAATTAACTAAATTAAGTCATAGGCCATAAAAAGATCTTTTAAGATTATTAAACCGACCTATTTTAATAATCATAAATTACTATTTTTTTATTTTATATTAAAATACAAAACTAAAGTTTAATTATCTTAAATAACATGTGATAAATAAATATTTAAAAAATTTATGAATAATGTTATAAGTTATTTTAACAAATTCTTTTAAACAAATAATTTTATAAAAATTTATAATTTTATGTAAACTCAAATAAATTATTGTAAATAAATATTTAATCTTATTTTACTTTTAATTTTTTAACATATTTAAATATTAATTGAATTATTTATTCACATATATTTAAATTATATGTAATTTTTAACTAGACTAATAGATTAATCAAACTTTTGAAAAATTCTTACTCAAACTAATCATATGACATATTTAAAGTTTTATTATTTTTGCAGGTTAGACACAAACTTAAGAGAGAATAGTTGGAGTCCAGTTAGTTCCACTACATATATATGATAAAAAGGATGGTGGGCCCCGGCACAGCAAATACAGTAGAATAAACGCGTGAGTCCCGAGGATGAAATTGGAGTAATTGGCACTTTAGATTTGGTTGGCTTTTTCTCATCATCAAGTCAAGTCAATATCTTGTTTCGTAGACTACTACTATTTCTGTTTCAGCCATCTTTTTTGACTTACTATTACTCTCTCTCTCTTCCCTAACAAAACATTATTAACTTCTTCCATCTTCTTCTTCTTTTTACTTCCCTTTTCTCCTCTTTCTCTCTACTCACACAAACAAACAACCAAACAATATGTTTCCATCCGTTTCTCTCTCTGTCTTATTTCTCAGCTTCCTCCTCCTTCAATCTCCTCTCCCATCCCTCTCAACTAACTCTGAAGGAAACGCTTTACATGCTTTGAGAACCAGACTTTCTGATCCCAACAACGTTCTTCAAAGCTGGGACCCAACTCTTGTTAACTCTTGTACTTGGTTCCATGTTACCTGCGACTCCAACAACCACGTTATTCGCCTGTAACACTCTCTTCAGATCCATCCATTTCTTATTTCTTATTACCCTTCTAATCCCTTGTTTATTTCAGAGACTTGGGCAATTCTAACATCTCTGGTTCTTTGGGACCCGAACTCGCCCAATTAACTCACCTTCAATACTTGTAAGCTGCAATTCTTTTCTTATCAATTAATACCCAACTAGTAATACAATTTTCTGAATGAAATTGTTTATTGCATTTGCAGGGAGTTATATAACAATAATATTAATGGCAAGATTCCTGAGGAACTTGGTAACTTGAAAAATCTTATTAGTATGGATTTGTATGATAATAAATTTGAAGGCAACATCCCAAAGTCCTTTAGCAACTTGAAGACACTTAAATTCCTGTAAGTCTCTTTATTTTCATGTGTGTTAATTCAACACAAATTTACACACGAGTTAAATCATGTATGAATCTGGCTCTGTTTTGTTCAACTTTTTGCATTCATCATGTTTTGTAGACGCCTAAACAACAATAAGCTCACAGGACCTATCCCAAGAGAACTCACTCATCTTAAAAATCTCAAAATTCTGTGAGTATATTTCAATGTCTTTCTTCTTTCACTTCTTCATGTTCTGGAATGGAGAAAGTTCATGTTCAATTTCATTTATCAGTTAATTTGAAACCTCCATTGTGATTTTGCAGTGATGTTTCCAATAATAACCTCTGTGGAACAATACCAGTAGATGGTAACTTTGGATCTTTCCCAGCAGAAAGGTACTACACTAACTCTTTTTTCTAATATTAACAAACTCCAATGGCCTGTAAATAAACATGTAAATCTTCAGAACTTATTACACAGTTCCTTGTATTTACAGCTAGCCTGTAATTGTAGTTTCAGTTAGTAGAGTAAAACATAGATCACTTACCACGCCATGGTTCTGAAAATCATCTGCTGAATTAGTTCCAACATGAACCCTGCTGAAAATGTCAAGCATTTCCACTTAATATACAACTGCATTGCATCATTCTCAATAACTATTAGCTTTTCGGGATCAAGCATCCTAGCAGGTCTCTTGTATCACGCTTATTACTCAACTAAGATTGAATGGCCATGTTTGATATGCATGAGATGATAATTTATTTGGATCAAAATCTTTGAAGATGAGATACATAAATAATCAAAGTATCTCGCCACTAGAAAAGTTGCTCAAACTTGTATTTTCATAATGTTTGAAACTGAAATAAATATATGTCTGCTACTCATGTTTCAGTTTTGAAAATAACGCGCTCAACGGCCCAGAACTGAAAGGACTGGTTCCTTATGACTTTGGATGCTAAGAAAGGTTGAAGAATACTGGCCTCCTCAGTTTGCTATGAAGAGGCTTCTTTACTTGGGCAGTTAGTACTTAGTAGTATCAGAGATGTATGATTGCTGCAAAATGAATCTATGTAAGAGACACATGTATGCCAAAATATATGTAATAGTAAATAAGATGCTATTAGCATCTGTCTGCATAGCAAGACTAGGATCATGTTGATTATCAAGTAAACGTGTTTCTAGTAATTTATTCGTTTTTATATACATTGTGGTTTGGTGCCTAATTCTTCTGTTTAATTTGGCCGTCCATTGGAAGTTTGGCTGAATTCTTGTTCCAGCATAGGACGAGTTATTCGGACACAGTATTCATTTATGACAAATCTTGTATCTTAATTTAATGCAGCGTGAAATTTGTTCCTGCACAGCATTCTTCTGAGTTTACGTCATTGTAGACTAGTTTCAATGTGCTCATTTAAAAAAAAAGTAGTTGTGTAGTTTTATCTACTTACTTCCATGAACCACTATCTTTTTGGAATATATTGTCCACTATTTAGTTTACTAGTAGTACACAAGGAACAATAGTTAGGTGAGGACACTATAAATCATGACTGCGTCTTTTGATCAATAATCAATAATTTTTTGCATGATCTTTTTTAAGCAGATATTTGCATAATCAAGCACCATGTTGATGGAAAATAACGAAGATACAGCTTTCAAAATGATACTTAAAAAATGCAGCAATGTACAATTGATAGTGGTGTAAAATTTCTTATAATATTAAATGTGAATCAAAATCAAAAATCTCTAAACAATCAAGTGTATTGGAAACATGAAAACTTGCAGGGGCACCATGGGTTGAACCAAATGCTATCCCTTGAAAAGATTACTGGGCGTTCAGTGAAAGGGTTTTAAATGCAGAAACGAACATGTTTTAAGTATTTGATGGTAATAAGTAATAACAAATGTAAAGTATAAGCAAGTTACAATGTATAAGATTTGGTCACAACCTGTTCACCTTTCAGCCATCCTACAAGTATAACCGCCTCGCTGCTCTTTGAACATTTGTTTTACCCTGGCACATCTGGATACTCTAATCAACAGCATACTCAAAAACCATATTCATTTCCTGCTACCTCGACAAAATATGTAACACAATCTTATGTTAATTGTTCACAAAATATGACAAGATAAGATGCTAGCTTGGGTTAGAATCACTTTGAATTAACGACAATTCTTCGTCCACAATAGGCAATGGTGAACTCACAAGAAGCTCAGAATCCTTGTTTTCATGATCAACCAATTCTGAAACAATTGGAATACATTCCTGCCAACCATTGGAAGGTGATGAAAGTTGTTCAGCTTCAAATAGTAACCAATTTTTATCCTTGGCTAGAATCATGATTGGGTACAATACAAATCCGACGATTACTACTGCTCCACTCACAAATAACGTTCTCAAAGAAGCCAGACACATAACAAGTATAAGCAACAAAGCTGGAGGCAAACAAAGCATGGCCGCCCAAAATGTTTGCAACGGAACTCTGTATGGTCTGCAAAGATTTGGTTTCTTCAATCTCAATGTTATAAAAGCTGCAAACTCAAGAAGCATTCCTATAGCATATAAGAAATTGAGAAACTCTACTATTTGCTGAAAGCTCATCCATGACAAGAAGATAACTCCAGTAGCAGAGAACAAAATGCTAACAGTAGGTGTTCCATACTTAGACCTAGAAAGTATATTGAACCGCATCAATGTTAGATAGTTGTAAATTGTTCATTTACGCGACTGATAGTAATAATATCATTCAGCATTCACTTAAAAGTCGAAATCATAGGTACTAAAGACACCACAAAACAGATAATAACCTTGTAGAGCTTATACACAATCTAATTCAAAAACAAAACAATGCTCACCTTGATGCGAAAACAGCTGGAAGCAATCCCATTTTGCTCATCCCTAAAAGCTGAAAAGCATCACTACTCATTTCTGCTTCAAACAAACCGAGATTAGACATGGCAGCCGCGGCTTGAATCCACAGTTTAAGCCAAAATCCACCAATCAACATCCCCACTTCAGCAAAATAACCATCCGCCCATTCAGTTGGAGATGAACTCAAAGCACCAGTCCCTGCAAGCAGCGGAATCAAATACGAAAATACCACCAAAACAATTCCTCCAAGAAGCGCTTTCGGAAATGTTTTACTCGGATTTTCAACCTCTCCAGCAAGAGTACTAGCTTTATCCCAATAATTCAAATTCCAGAACATGTTATTAAAGTAACCACGCCAATTCACTTTGCTAAAATCCACATCAAACCATCGCGTCGGCCTAAGCTTGGGAACAGAAAGAATGGCCATAACAAGAAACGGCGAAAGCGAAAAAACAGTTAAGAAAACAGCAGTGAAACCAACAATGTGAAGACCTCTATAATTCAAAAAAGTAAGTGAAAAAGTGATTCCTAAAAGAGCAGGAATTCTGGCAATGAATAGGTTAAAAACCGGAAAAGAATGCTTCAAGTAATCGAGGAACAAAACAGGGTAAAGAGCATTATCCATGACGCCACTGAACCATTTCCAAAAGCCTTCTTGGAAGCCCCAGAAAGGACCAAAAGCTGATGAAATCCAAAGGACATAACCGCCGTTGTGAGGGAAAGTGGTGGCGAGTTCGGCGGTGACGAGAGCTTCAGGAATGCTCCAAATGAGAGGGAAAAACAAAAAACCGAGGAGGGAGAGAAGAGGACCGGCACCGGCTCTGATAGAATCCTCGACTCCGAAAGGACCGCCGGAAACTTCGTAGAAGATGAGAGCGATGAGAGGTAATAAGGTTAGTTTAGGATTGGATTTGTTGGAATCATCGCTCTCTTCACCCATCAATTTTGAATGAATCAAGCACACGGAGATAACTCGTTTTTGCAGGAAACTAAGCTGCAATTCAGATCGGTTCCTTAACGACTTTCCATCCCTTTCTCAATTTCTCACAGATTCTCTGTTACTACTATACTATTATACTCTACTATTTCTTTCTCTTTTAGGCTAAATTATACTCTAAATTTTACTTGATACTTTAGTATCTTTATTTTTTTCAATGTTGTCATTAAATTACATGCATAACATACTTTCGTTATTCTTTAATTTATGGAAGAGACAACTTCTCTGTTACAACTTTTCATGGAAGATACTTAAAATCGGCAGTTTCACATTTTGAATCGGTCAGAGTACCTTTTGAATTATTAAAAAAAAACAAAGTTTGTATTAAAGGAATTGTTTAAGAAAAATATTTTTAGGTCCAAAATTTTAAATTGACTCGCTGATTATACACTAGGAATTTTTTTTAAATAACTATTTTTTTAAAATTAAATATCTAATAAATTAATGTTTTAAATTTATTACGAAAATAATTATGTTTCAGAAAGAAAAAAAAGAGTCGCCATTATAATTAGCAAATGCATTCTCTTTAACATATAGGCGCATTTTTAAATGACTCATATTTGTATGTGTCGCCATTGGAGATGGCGCATAAATTCATGCATTAAGTGCATGTGTCATTTTAAATGGCGCATCCTTTATATTTTATTTTATTTTAATTTTAATAATTTTAATTATTTATAATGCATGCCCCAATTTAAATAGTGCATATATATTGCATGTGCCAATCTAAATTGTGCATTTTTAATGTACAACGCCAATTCAAATAGTGCATTTTTGAATACATGCGTCTATTCAAATGGTGCATTTGTATAATTTTTTAATGCATACGCCAATTTAAATGTATACTTTTTCAATGCACGTGCCAATTCAAATGGCACATGCTTTTTCGATAGTATGTATGCGCCATTTTAATTGGCGCATTCTCTTCTTCTCCAAGCTAAACATGGTTAGTTTAATAATTAATTTGAAATGATTGTTTTTTTCGTATATTATTTGAAAATAGTGGCTATTTTAAAAAAAATCACACACTAGATGCATACTATAGAGCCTTCTAACAACGGAAGGAAGGGAATATAGTTGTAGTTTTACAAGGGATGGCATGATTTAGTTCCAATCAATTAGTATAAAGCTTCAAGTGATTTGGTTTGCGTGTATATAAGTTATTTGAAAAACGCGAAATGAAAAGTTATTTTAAAATAAGATCATAAAGCCTGAAAGTTTGGTGGAGAATGGTAAATTGTATGTCCAAAATTGGTTGAAAGTAAAAGAAAAAGATTTGAATCCCAATTTATCATTATGGTGTTTGAATTCAAGGACAACTTTAGATCTTATAGATAAGTAACTGTATGGTGTCAATCTGCTTACTTGTGGAGATGTGGACATCTTATAGTTGAATATCATTAAACTTCTATCAATTGTTGTTGGTGTCAAACCTGTTGTGTAACAGTGTCTGTTATAGCTTTCAAGTTGGTATGTGTAAGGGCTTAGTCAGGTTGGTGTGGTCCATAGAACTTGGTGGTGATTCTGGTTTCGTATTGTCTTGTTACTGTATTAGAATTGTTTTTTCTATCTGATGTTGTGGAGAGCACATGTTCCTAGTGTTTAGCTTTGTAGTTTGGGTTGAGGTATTCTTGTAGTGGTTATTAGATGCAAGTAATTTGCATATGCCAATGAAGCATGCTATTTTGGTTTTCTACATGGTTATGCCTGGATGTGTATATGTATTGAATGGATGCAATGTGTGTCTTATTGAATCTTGGCTTTGTTTGGATGCGGGTAGCTATGTAGCACCCTGATCATGAAGATGTTTGGCGTATCATAGTGTATCAAAATGGTGGTTTGGAAAGCAATCAAGCCTCATGAAGAAAAAGTTAGGACTAGGGCTTAGGATTAGGAGTTGACTTTGGTCAACTATTTGACCAAAAAGTCAACAGTTGACCAAAGTTAATGGTAGGTTAAAAAGTGTAATTTTGTGTATAATTTTGATTTTGAACCTTTTGTAATGGAATGTTGAATATTTTTGTAATGAAATGCCCTTTTGAAATAAATGAGATGAATATTGCCTTGTGTTCCAAGAAAGTGGTTTCCCTCCCAAAACATGAATTTGAATGAATACTTGAATGTTGCATTTGACTATGAATTTGAACGAACCCCTCTTATTTTCCTTGTCTTGAATCCAAATTGCAAAGCCTTAAATCGGATGAACAACCAAACAAACAAATCATGTGAGATTTCCATAAAGAATCATCAGTAGAAAGTCAACCTAAAAGTTGACCTCTGCTTAAGAATGACTTTCAAATAACCATGTCATAATGCAATCAATAGTAACTAAAGACCATAATTCAAAACTTAGGGATTCACAAGACTTTAGTCTAAGAGATGCCTCTCCTAAGTCAATTGTATCACCAAGATTCCCTAGGTTGGATTCCCAGAGAAACCCTAACTCAATGTTAGGCATAAATAACAAAGATCCTTGAGTAAATGGTACTTATTTGAAAAATGAAATTATGAATGAATGCCCTAAATGATTGTGAATATGCAGATGAAGTGAGGATTATGAGCCAAATAAAAAAAAAGTAGGGAAAGTTATGAGGTATGACATAAAGGAAATAGGATCTTCAAGAGTGAAAGTTGGTCAAACAATGTAAAATCAAATGTTGGTGACAAAAATAAAACCTCTAAGAGAGAATGAGGCTTTAGCACAAACAAATCAAAGAAGAAATAATTTGATAAAAGAAAAGTGCAGTGCCACAATTGTGAGAAGTTTGAATATTTTGTTTATGAATGTTGGCACAAGAAATAAGGGAAAAAGAATCAAAGAATGATGGACATACACACATAGCTCATAATGATGATTATGATTCATAAGCAGTTTAGCTAATGTCCATAACATGTGCTTATGAGTATGTTATGGTATCTTGACTTAAGGTGTTCAAATCACATGAATGGACACAAGTAATGACTTACATACTTTGATTCAAGAAAGAAAACCAATTTTAAAGTTGCAAATAGCAGTTATCTAACAACATAAGGCATATGTGACATTGTAATCATTAGAAAATATGAGAAGAATGCACTTATTAAAAAGGTAATCTATGTATTTCGGATGATACGCAACCTATTGAGTATAGGGCAAATGGTAGCGAATGGTTTTTTTAGTTACCATGAATGGTAATTCATTGTCATTATAGTTCATCATAGCCTGTTTTTGGTCTAAATTATAGTCATCTTAAGTGCTTGCACTTTTAATTTATTTATGTTTTTTATGATTTATTATAGTTCATCATTGCGTGTTTTTGGTCTAAATTATAGTCATCTTAAGTGCTTGCACTTTTAATTCATTTATGTTTTTTACGATTTAATAAAGATTCGAAAGAAACATGGAAAAGACATTTTCATGTCAAGATCATCCTAACCAGAATTATCTTTATGGTATTTTACTATAGAAGTAATTATGAAAAAGCAACGAGGTGACTCGTATACAAGAAATGAAAGAAAATAATGAGAAGTTGCAAAAGGAGTAAAAATATGTCGCGCTCATCCATTAGAGCAGCATGATTGGAGCATGTAAAGAAAAAAAAAATCAAATTAAGAAGAAACAACCTCGAACCTATACCATAGTGGCAGGATTTTGAGCTTTTGGGAATAATGTGCCACAATTACAAAGAAGGAGTAGGACGTTCAATGCAATCACAGACTACAATACAAGATAAGTCGCAAAAATCATTACATACCTATAGGGCATAGCGATGCGGTTTTGCTACCTCAGAAATTTACTATATATTATAAAAGCATGTTTAGTCATTAGGATTTTGAATTTTATGATCGAGAAGGAATATTCTAAAGAATTGGAAAAGGGGAGAAGGCAAAACATCATTAGGGAATCATCTTTAATCGTTCGTGAGACTTAATTTCTCTATTTTTATTGTATTGGCCATGAATCTCTTAAGGATGAATGACTTGTCCCCTTAGAATGATTTGCCTCCATTAATGTGAAACATGTGGTTTGTGTATATTTACTTTATGAAATGAACCTCTTTGTTATATTTATTCAAGTTTATTTTGTACTTAATGGTCTTTTTTAATCTACGAAATTGGGTGAATTGGTCTAAATAGAAATCACAACTAATTGTAGATTTGCATATTGGAACTAAATAATTTTGGGAGGTTTTTTTATGATCGTTAGACATGTGGCGTACTCAGCCGTGACATAAGTATTTTACGCTCGATCAAATCTTTGTCAATTATGACTTCCTTCAATACATTAGGGGGGTTGTAACCAGACTAAGCAGGTTACACAAGCGTTACTATTTTCTAAAATAGTTGTGATATAAGAAGATTCATTATAGGTTCAAGTCATCATTTACCACATGAAAAGGGTAAAACATTCGAAAAGGGTACATAATTGTTTCTATGATTATATTTTTTCACATTAGTTTAACTAAGATTTTCAATTGTAACACCCCCTTTCTATGCCCCCAAATAATACAATTAATCATTTAGGCATAAATTTAAAATTTCATCAGAGTACATTTGCAACATGGCATAAAAAGGAAATATCACATTATCATAAAAATTCCAACACATACAGCACCTGCTCAACAGATACGCAACAACGGGATAACACCCACAAGAAATATTTAGAACCAAGGCGGAAATATCCAAATATTTCATAATTCACCAAACATGTATTCACATACACAGTTATCATTCATCATGTTTTACAAAACATATCAACAGCAGATACATGCTCAGATGTATCACAAGAGAATCAAAATAAATCCTATTCTACCTGGTGCTACATATCAGAGCCGACCGACCAAAAAGGGAAGAAGCCACGCTTCACAAAATACCTCCAGCAATCTAGTCTGCAATGCCTCATAGAGCATTAAAAGAAACAACAGAAGGGTGAGAAACGATATCATAACAACAATGCATAAAAA